CACAGGCACTCCGATGCTTAAGTCAGTAATGGAATTAAGACAATTGCAAGAAGAAAAGGAGAGTTCAGTGTACCTTTCGCCTTGGCTCCTTTAGCTTTTTATAGATCCCTGTTCAATTAGGATTTCCATGATTTTCGATTTGAGGTGGTACACCTACCTCCAATTAGGTAGCTCTAGTTGGAAGTTGCTAATATCTCTCTAGCAATTCCTCCTGCCAAGCCTATAATCTCGTTGATTCGTTTAGTTAGAATGCTTGAGTTAGAGGCACATCCTTATCTTTTCATTCTGTTTCAAACAGCTTGGTCGTCATGATATGAACCGAACTCTTTCATTGCTCGCCAAACACATTGATCAATTCGGCTAGGTCTATTGACTAAGTAACTTATGGCTTCGTCACGTGCCTTATCTTGTCATCCTGACGTAGGCTCATTTAATGTTATAACACGTGCAATTAAGAGTGCCACCCTTTCAACCATATTTACATCATCAATGAAACAAAAATTTATCCACTTGTTTGGGTGCATGTATTCGAGGCTCTATGCATATGAAGTCTGGTTCTCTACATATTTTGTCTCTGGTTGTTGGATCTTAAGGTCTCAGGCTCAACCCTCGCCTTTTCTCTTCCTATAATAGTGCCAAACCTAAAAATAAATAAAGGAAAATTCTATCTGGACCTAAAAAACTAATATAATTTGCTGATCTAATGACGTGGTTTCATTGAAACTATTAGATAAACACCAAGTTTTAATATTTGATGGAACTCACAGCTAATCCAAAGGTCATGGTGAATTAAGTCAGTAAATTATGTCAATAAATTAGGTCTCAATAGCATTGCTTATAAATAAAATTCATGTTCTCGATGAGTTTGGTGGTGACATCATGTTAATTACGTATGCCTAATTTGTCATTAGCGTCACTAATCTTTATATATTATTAATGTCCTTTTTTGGGAAGGTAATGTTTATATAATAATGTCAAGTGGATAGGATCGTAGGAAAGTGATAACAACCAGGAAATTAGATTAGATCTCAAATGGGGTTGATTCCATTTTAACATGTGCCATATACAATTTAAGATTATATCATTCAGATAATGTTCTTCTTACATTCTGCCACAATCATTAACCACCCATTTTTCAAGTTTGAAATCTCCTGGTCCTTTATTCTGGGGTTAAAAATTTAGAATAATCCAATGTCTGGTACCATCAGAACTTCACACTAATTTACCATAAACACATTTCTAATGCAAATTTCTTGTTGATTTAGCATATCTCTAACTGGATTTTCTTAGCTAGTTGGTGAGTGAGGTCAATAGATTACGTTGATCTTAACACATCACCATACTTACATCATCAATGCAATAAAAAAATTACCCACTTGCTTGGGTACATGTATTTGAGGCTGTATGAGTATGAGGTCAGGTTCTCTGATTTTTTGTGTGTGTTCTAAATCAGGTTGATGGTGACATCATGTTAACTACGTACCCCTAATTCATCATTAGTCTTTACTACTCTTGCCGAGCTGATCATAATTCCTTGCTAATCTTCCTGTTTGAATGGTGTGTTTATATAATAATGCCAAGTGGGGTAGAAAGTGATAGCAAACAAAACGTTAGATTAGGACTCAAAAGAGGTTGATTCCAGTTTACAAATGTGACATATAATTTAAGATTATGTCATTTCGATAATTTAAGATTATGTCATTTCGATAATGTTTTTCTTACACTGCTCCACAATCACTAGCCACTCTTTTTTTTTTATATATATATATTTTTGATTCAACGGTTAAGAGTGTTCGAATCATCTTACACGCACTTCTATTAATTTTTTCTTCGGTCCAGTCAAAGACAAGTCATCTACATTAGGATTAAGGTATTCATGATGGATAATTTCCTCATGACTTGACCTTAAAAAGTTGTCAAAATTCAAATTCAAGACGTCGAAGTGTACAACTTATTTCTATTATCATTTGAACTACAATGAACCTCTTTTTCAAGAAGTGTTTGAATTCGTTAGAGACAAGATGTAAACTCGTAGATACCGAGACCGAGTCTTTTCTCGCATAAAACTCAGATGTGTAATCGATCAGTATGATTTTTTGGTGATCACATGGAACAATGTTTTAATTGTATTAATGAATTCAAAGGACACATGGTTAAAATGATTTACAACTTAAAATTTTTATAACAAAAACTTGCCTCAGTCATGAAAGTAAATTTAACTTTGGTGGGCTTAAGTTTCTCATGATACTGCATAGAGAGAAGTGTATAAAACATATTAACGAGGTGGTACATATGATGGAAATGAATAATTTTCACTCTGGATTTGATATGCGAAAACAACGTAGAAAAAAAATAAAGATGCAAAAGTATCACACTTAATGTCTATGGAGTCACACTAAATCCACTATAAATAATCAAAACACATAGAGGAGTACAAAAGAGACTGTTTTGTGAGTTTGTCATCTATAAACACACTAAGGGTAACCCGTGTTTGAAGTTACGGTTCAATATGAATGATTTTAAGAGAAAAGTTGATGATTATTGGATGAATTTATTTGAAATCGTCAGATAAATTTATTGAACCTTACTTTGTTTTATATTGTTTTATATTATAGATAAGAAGCAATCAACACAAGTATCATTTGCCAAAAAAGTGCTCCAATGTGTAGAGTACCATTAGAACTCCACACTAATTTACCATAAACACATTTCTCATGCAAATTTCCTGTTGATTTAGCATATCTCTAACTGGATTTTCATAACTAGTTTGGTGAGTGAAGTCATTAAATTACGTTACTCTTAATACATCACCATATGCACATCATCAATGAAACAAAAAACCACCCACTTGCTATGAGGTCAGGTTCTCTGAATTTTTATGTGTGTTCTGAATCAGGTTGGTGGTGACATCATGGTAATTACGTACCCCCTAATTCATCATTAGTTGCTAATCTTTCTATTTTAATGGTGTGTTTATATAGTAATGCCAAGTGGGGAGAAAAGCGATAATAACCAAAAAGTTAGATTAGGACTCAAAAGGGGTTGATTCCATTTTACAAATGTGACATATATAATTTAAGATTATGTCATTTCGATAATGTTTTTCTTACATTTCTCCACAATCACTGGCCACCCTTTTTTCTTTGTTTTTATTTTTTAACGATCAGGAGTGCTTGAGTTAGTTTTCACACATTCGACTAATCATTTCTCTGATCCGATCAAATACAGATCATTCATGCTGGGACTATGGTATTCATGAAAGATAAATCTCTCATGGTCTAACCTGAAGGAATTATCAAAATTTGAACCCAAGATATCTAAGTTTACAACTCGACCTTGTTACCACTTGAGGTATATATTAGAGTTTGACCACCCTTCTTTCAATGTTTGAAATCTCCTAGTCTTTTATTCTAGGGTTAAAATTTAAATTAGTGCATGGTGGGTGAAGTCATTGTCTGAAGAGGGTCCTTTAAAATAAGTTTTTTTTTTTTGGGTGAAGTCATTGATTACGTTTCCATAATTCATCATCTTGTTTGCATAGGTAATGCTATGAATCAAACCTTCCAAATTCCTACTGTTGAATGTATATAATAAGCTCACTGCTTTTGTTTTTTTTTTTTGTTACCTAACTCTGTAATGGTGTCTCTATTCCTTACAGTTTTCTTCGATGAGGAGGACATCAAGATGGTTGTGATGTCATTCGATTACGTTTCTCTAATTGTTCATCATGCTTATGTACTCTGTAATTAGACTAATGCTACCATAAGTCATGACAGTTATCATTAGAAAAGTTTAGTTTGATGGTGTCAAGTGCATATAATTTGAAAATATTCGCAAATTAGCATATTGTATTCAAAGGGGTTTTTTGAACTTTAGGATGACAATTTGTGCTATCTGTCGATCTACCATTGCTTGTCATCGCTTTGTTATCAAACTATCTAGGCATTAATAGGCTCATATGGGTTAGGTGTTAATCATAGATTTATTTACCAGAGTACAGTTCTTTTAAACAAATATACAAAAGTACAGTACTTTTAAACTTATTTATTAATTATGATACTTTTTAAAAACGAGATTAATAATTTTACTTTTATTAAAAAAAGCGATCAACAACCTCGCGTTTAAATTAAAAACAGGATCTAATTGTATAAAAATTATGGGCAAAACATGTGAAAAGTGTGTTTACTAAAAACACTTTCATGAAAAAACGTGTTTAGTAAATATGTTTTTAACACTTTTCATCTCTAATCACTACAACTAAATATTGTTGCGCAATAGGTGAAAAGTGTGTTTAAATAAGCACGTTTTTTTTTATAAAAGTGTGTTTAGTAAACATACTTTCAACGTTTTTCATTTATACTCGCGGTGACTACCGACCACATTTTTTATTTAAAATTGAGGTTATTGATTCTGTTTTTAACAAAAGCGGGCTTATTGACTCTGTTTTTTAAAAATTTCGTAATTTGATAAATAAAATTTAAAAGTGCTGTATTTTGATATATTTATTTTTAAAAACTGATACACTTGTAAATAACCCAATCATCATAAGGGATATAAGATTTCTTATCTACATTGATCATGATTAGCTGAAGAAAAAAAAAAAAAAGGTCTCAACTCGGGCATTTAGCAACTAAGATGTGTCTTTACTTTTAAATGTGTAGCCTTATCTTGTGTGTGGTGGTGTGTTGTTTTCATGACCCGTATCCATGAAATGACAAAGCCGGCACTAGTGGGAATATATAGAGTACATGTATCTTGTACAAGCTGCCAAGTCAACAAATTTATGCCACGTGTGACAATAGAAGTGCTTATTTGAGAGCTGTACAGTTATGGAAAGCCAATAGTAACTTCAGCTCTGGCTAGCTCAAAAGCCAATAAACACTTGGTGAAGCCAAAAATAATACAGAATCTCAGCTTTAATTTGGAAGTATTTCAAACAAAGAATATGAAACAAGAAGTCTTATAGCCAAACAATATGCATATTGTCACTATTTTCTTAATTAGTACTGAAGAAGATCCTCTAACAACTTGTCATCATAGTATTCAAATTCGAAAATTTCTTTGCTCTGTTGGGCATTCTCCACATTATCAACCATGGAAAGGGTGAAGGAAGATGATGGCGATGCCACCGATGACCTCGATGATGATGATGATGATGACGAGGAGGAGAAGGAAGGAGGAGGAAGAGGGGGATATTCGTTGGGAAAGTTGAGAATGGCTAGAGAACCCCTCATTTCATACGCAGCTCGATCATAAGCTCTTGCTGCCTCTTCTGCTGTTGCAAAAGTCCCGAGCCACAGCCGGGCTCCATGCCTACTTGAATCGCGAATCTCTGCTCCATATTTTCCCCACGGCCTCCTCCTCACCCCTCTGTATCGGACCTCTCCTTCCTTCTCTCCATTGACCTTACCCTTGTGATCTTCCTCCATTTTCTTTACTAAATCACAATGCTATGCTATCCTCCACCATTTATACAGTTTCTAAAACTCTTAATTCTACAAAAAATGGTCCCTGCTTGGTGGGCCTTATTAGCATTTTCTATATATATATATGTGTGTGTGTGTGTGTGTGTGCGGTTGTGGGGTGCCACTTACTTGAATGATCACGCTGATGGCTTTAGTAGGCCTGTCTTTTTCTATCTCTTTCTCTCTCTCCCTATCTCCAATCTATTTATTGGAAGGTATGAAACACGGATATTTTATTGAGGTTGACATACCCGTATCAGATACTGTATTAGATATGATACTCGTCGGATACTCAAAGATACGTATCGAATATACCTTTTAAGTATTCAATAATAATTAAATATTAGAATATTTCACGGATACTTTTGTAGTTGAGCAACATATATAATTTTTTAGTTAAACTTTTAACATCTCTTTTCGAATTCACATACCATACAATACATTAACAAAAAATTTATATTACTTCAAAGACACATGAGTATTTTTTAAGTATTATTTACAATTACATGCCAAAAGAACATAAAATAAAAAAGGTGATATCATATGCTTACCTTGTTCAAAACAAAAAGGATGATCAACGCAAGCCATGGCAATTTCGTCCATGTAGCCACAGATTGATGAAAGAATCAGCCATGTTTTGATACTTAATCCTGAGCTTGTATGGTTTTGTGTTGTGTTTGTATTAATAATGAGAGGCTCTAAAATGCATATGATCTCATTTGGCAATGTTACATATGTGAAACAACTGTCTTTAGAACAGAGTTCTGATTGTACCATCACTTGCTGGAGAACAGATTTTTATCACGGCACTGTCAAAAGAGAGACCGTGTTCTGCACAAGAGGTAAACCGAGGGCAGGTTGATGATCAACACATGGTTACGACTGGCCCTCTAAGTTATCGCTTATTGTGATCTTGAACTTTAGCAGCAATTCCCCTCTACACTGCATTTTTCAGGATGATGCTGACACGAGTATACATGGAATGAACTCAGGGCCTTACAGATATGAACTACTAATGAGAAGAGTAATATTTGGCTAACTTAAATAGTCCTAAGTCACATGACAGTCTTTGAGAGTAAAAGAGTATGGAGCATACATAGTAATACTAATAGGTGTTCCAACTCAAATAAATCACAAATTTCAGACATCCCCTCCCTCTTATTTCTAGCATAAACACTAGAAATGTTGAATCATCTCCTTCAAACAACCATAGAAGCATCGAAGTTTCTTTTGAAACTTGGTAAAGATAAAAAAACAATTTAGCGCACACAAGGTTCTTGTTATTGCGAGGTTTAGGTATGTCAACTATACGATAACATATTATCCTACCTGCAGAGAGACTCAGTTTTAGCGCTTGATTTATCTATGAATTAGCTGCAACAAACAGAACCAATACCATTTAACTGTTATTGAGTGAAACAGGGCTCCTAGTCCTAGGCAGAAATCCTCTGCAATATTGCACACACTGTGTTAAACGACGCTGTTTTTTTTTTATTTTTTTTAATGACGTCGTTTTGAGAATAGAACCTGTGTTCAAGCTCCAAGTCAAACTCCTATGAGATTGTGTGCCCATACAACAGTTTCTTTGACAATTACACATTTATAGAAAGTCAAATAGCAATTTCATTTTGGCTCAAAGGTCAACCACTTAAGTAGCCAAACAATACAGAATCTTGCATAAAATGATGAAAATTAATTCATACACAGAATTTTTTACAATAATTTCTTGTGCCAAACAATATACATATTGTTTCTATTTCTTAGTTTTCTCCTTCTAATGCTCAAGCAGATCCTCCAACAACTTGTCATCCAAGTATTCAAACTCGAAAATTTCTTTGCTTTGCTGGGAATTCTCAACCATGGAAGAGGAGAAGGATGATGATGATGATGATGCCACTGATGACCTTGATGATGATGACAAGAACGAGGACAAGGAGGAGGAAGAATGAGGATATTCGTGGGGGAAATTGAGGATGGCTAAAGGGCCTCTGATTGCATAGGCGGCTCGATCATAAGCTCTTGCTGCATCCTCTGCTGCCGCAAAAGTCCCGAGCCACACCCGGGCACCTTGCCTACTCGAATCACGAATCTCTGCTCCATATTTTCCCCATGGCCTTCTCCTCACACCTCTGTATTTAACTTCGCCTTTCTTCTCTTCTTTGATCTTCCCTTTATGACCTTCCTTCATTTTCTTAGTGAATGAGAAGAGCTGTGTTCTTTGCACCATTTATACGGTGTCGACAACTCTTAATTGAACAAAGTCAATATTTTGTGGGCCCAATTAGCAGACAATAATTTGATTGCCACCTAATTGAATGATCATGCTGATGGGTTTAACGGGCCTCCCTCTCTCTCTCCCTCCCTCCCTCCCTCTCTCAGCTTACTAGAATCAGACAATAGATTACGTCGGCTATATTCCTTTAACTGTGTTTAAATTGTTTTCTTCATGTAAGCAGACACTTACCATAGGGGGAGAGGGCTATAACCCAGTTAATTATATATTTAATTGCAAGTGGTGATTATGATTATATAATTTGAATGCTAGTAACTAGGTGGGATTCTGATTATTAAGCTGCTAATTATTTTATGATGTGTGTGACATAACCAAGATATATCTTATGCTTACGTAAATCAAAACAATGGTGATCGACGTGAGCCAAGACAATCGTCCTTGCAGCCACAGGTTGATGACAGAATGTTTTTCTACTTAATCGTGGGTTCATATCGCTTATGTTTATTTGTTTTCATAATGAGAGGCTGTCAAATGCAACAGTCCTTAGAACAGTTGAGTGTTCAGATGGTTCCTAAATACACTGTTAAACTCACCATCATTTGCCGGAAGAGAGAGAAAAAAGTCCAACATCCTTAACAACTGACTGTCATCGAGGCAAGTATTTGCTAAGAATAAGAAGAAGAAGAACTCCCTAAGAAGTAACAGAAACACACTCCACGATCGTGTCGAACTGATGAGAGTGTTCTGCCCAAGGGAGCAGGTTGATCGACTCCTGGTTAGATTTGGCCTTCTAAGTTAAACAATGCCCCACCATACACCATTTTTCAGCATGATGCTAACATGAGGATGGAATGAACTCAGGACCATACAGATATGAACTCATAATGAGGAGACTAATATTAGGCTAACTTAAATAGGTCAAAGTCACATATGAATCTTTGAGAAGATGAAGCATACCTCAAATAGAACACAAGTCCCACAACCCTAGTCTCTACTTAGAGAACCCTCATAAATCTAGCATCTTAGGCATTTCCCTTTCCTAACAAATCCACAAGGGAACATAAAAATAGAGTAACGCAAAGAAAAACCCAGGTTTGGAACTTGAGAGAAGTGAAATTAAGTATACATGCTCTGAAAACTGTCAGTGTGTGGGAGAGAGAGAGAAAGAGTCGAGCCGGTGCAGTATCATTCTACACCACACAAATGTGAATATTGATACAACAATCTTCCATGTTTACCAGGGAATAACTCAGATTCCAGATACCTTAAATAAGTAATTTCCACTAGCAAAATGTAAATCCAAGCTATCCAAAAATAAAGCTGCAAATTTAAGCTTGCTTCTTTTTCTCTTCCAAATAAGAGTAGTTCCTCTGGAAGTCCAAAACTGCCCAAACCAAATGCCAAACACTAATCTCTGGCCAAAGCACCGAGGGAGAGTACAGAATGCAAAATGCACTCTGCCACAAAAGAAAATTGCTTAAGCGGGTCTCACCAGAAGTACGTATTATGATATCAGGATTAGGTGCAACTGCTGTATACATATGTTCCTCAATATCTGTCACATTAATTAGATGCTCTCTGTGATGATACCCAGCACCACTAGTGTTTAACACTCTGATTTCATCACATTTCTCTTCAACAGATTCTTGAACAGCATGCGTAATCTCATCCAAGGACGTGTAGGCAATACAGATTGACAGTACAGCTTTCGAATTTTTGGCAGTGGCACCCATAGCCCTCTCGGCTGCCAACCTGACAGGTTTGTTCAAGAGTTTAAGGTCTCCTAGGAAGTAAACCCTAATTCCATAGCGGTTCACTATGCTTTCCTCTTCAATTAACCCTTCAATCTTTTCCTGCATCAATTGCATAATAGATTGAACTTCTTCAGGACTTCTTTTGAAATTATCAATACTGAAGGCATAAACTGTCACATGTTTTGTGCCCAACTCATAACAGTATTTTAGCATATTCATAAGAGCTGAAAACCCAGTCCTATGGCCATCCCCGTCTATGAGATTTTGCTTCTTAGCATATCTGCGATTCCCATCCATGATGAAAGCAATGTGACTAGGAACAGGACCAATGGAAAGAATTGAAAAAATGAATTTTCGCAAAATACCACCCAGATTCTCAAACATTTGGGTTGCCTGATTAGTTCTCCCTTTGTCCATAGGAAAACCACGGGCATCTGTTAAATATGTGTAGCCCACATGACCTGTTAATGCAAAGGAAAACTATAGTCTAAATTGTTGTGGGCGAAAAAAGACACAATTAGGTGAAAAAAGCCCTCATAAGAATTAAAGTTAATAAATTGGTATAGGAACCATACAAGTTAATTGTCAGCTTAATTGCATAGCTCTTGTAACTGAACCCACATACCATTTTATAACAAGTGAGCTGGTCCAAACCAGTAACTCGTGGCCTGGACCGGCTGATAAGGCACTTTATTTTCAAATCAAATCAGGAGAAACAATTATGTTACAATATGAAATCCATTAAGGGACTATTGTACAAGTAGCACCTATCTGTAATAGTTAGTTTGGTCTTCTTGTAGTATATTTCTGAGTACAAGCTGCAATTAACATCTAAGTAAGTGAGGTATCTGATATAAATAAACTCATACTCTACAGATTCAAATACCATGAATACAATTCTTCTTTTATTTAGCTCTATTGGGAATGACATATTGGGAAAAAATGATCTGATCAATGAACTGAGATGCAATGAGCGAGTTACCACACTAAATCCACAGAGTAGTAAAATATGGCATAACACTATACTAATCCATTGCATTGCCGGCTCAACAGAATATTCAAAAAAGCATCGGCTTTAAGCCCTACACCCCAAATTTTAGAGTTCAATAATGAGATATAGATCAATGATTAAAACTCATTATAATTTAGCTTAACAAAAAAAACTCCTGAAACTCTAATCATATGATTTCAATTTCAGAAAAACAAAAGGAATTAAGACTCACACAGAGACTGTCATACAGAGAGAGAGAGAGAGAGAGAGAGAGAGAACCTGTGATGCGTGTGGCTTGTGGCTTCGAAGAGAAGGCGGCGAGAGAGGCGAGAGTCTCTGAGACTCAAAGAGGAGGTGGCGCTGGGGATCAATCGACTGAGAAGAAGAAGAAGAAAAAAAGAGGCGAGTCTCCGAGACTCGAAGAGAAGAATGCGCTAGGGATCAATCGACTGACAAGAAGAAGAAAGAATAGGCGAGAGTCTCCGAGACTCGAAGAGGAGGATGCGACAGGAATTTTAGGATTTTTGTCCACACATTAACATGTATATATTTTTAAAAAAAATATATATACACGAGGGTTGAGGCAGGACCGGAAATGACCAAAATTAGGGATTAAATAAAGAGTTCAAATGACACACGACAACTTAATTAATTTTTTAAAATAGCTGTCATGTAATTTAATAAAGTTGTCAAATGACATGACAGTTAACTTGAAATGCTAATTATGCTGATTAGGCTCTATCATGTTATTTGAGCTCTTTATTTGATCTCTAATTTTAATCAACGTAACATATTTTTTATGAAAGTTGTTCAATCAGGTTGCGTATGAAAAAATTTGAACACTCCTACTTGAAAGATTAAGTCAACAAAATAAAATTTAAAATATAGGTTCAAAAGTGCAGTTCACATCACACATACACATTATCTATCTTCTATAAATAAAAATAAATCAAACACATTTTTTATTTTTCTCAATCTTAATTTCGTTCTCATAAACATCAACTAATTATANAATGATTAAAACTCATTATAATTTAGCTTAACAAAAAAAACTCCTGAAACTCTAATCATATGATTTCAATTTCAGAAAAACAAAAGGAATTAAGACTCACACAGAGACTGTCATACAGAGAGAGAGAGAGAGAGAGAGAGAGAGAACCTGTGATGCGTGTGGCTTGTGGCTTCGAAGAGAAGGCGGCGAGAGAGGCGAGAGTCTCTGAGACTCAAAGAGGAGGTGGCGCTGGGGATCAATCGACTGAGAAGAAGAAGAAGAAAAAAAGAGGCGAGTCTCCGAGACTCGAAGAGAAGAATGCGCTAGGGATCAATCGACTGACAAGAAGAAGAAAGAAAGGGCGAGAGTCTCCGAGACTCGAAGAGGAGGATGCGACAGGAATTTTAGGATTTTTTGTCCACACATTAACATGTATATATTTTTTTAAAAAATATATATAGGCAGGACCGGAAATGACCAAAATTAGGGATCAAATAAAGAGTTCAAATGACACACGACAACTTAATTAATTTTTTAAAATAGCTGTCATGTAATTTAATAAAGTTGTCAAATGACATGACAGTTAACTTGAAATGCTAATTAGACTAATTAGGCTCTGTCATGTTATTTGAGCTCTTTATTTGATCTCTAATTTTAATCAGCGTAACATATTTTTATGAAAGTTGATCAATCAGGTTGGGTATGAAAAAATTTGAACACTCCTACTTGAAAGATTAAATCAACAAAATAAAATTTAAAATTTAAGTTCAAAAGTGCAGTTCACATCACACATACACATTATCTATCTTCTATAAATAAAAATAAATCAAACACATTTTCTATTTTTCTCAATCTTAATTTTGTTCTCATAAACATCAACTAATTAAATTGTTTATTTTGATAAAGGATCCACAATAAAACGTAGTTAATATTAAAAAAAAATTCAATAAAGTTATTGTCGAAAAAAATAAAACACAATAACAATGAATTATAAATGTATATTGATAGTCGATCATATAATACCACAATTTTTATGAATAACATATAAAACAAATAGAAAGAACATAAAAAACAGTAATAAAACAATAGAGTTTATCCCAAAAAGTGCGGGTCAAGTAAAAAATAAGAAAGATAAACAGATGTATAGATTTGTTTGCTAAAAAATATGTACTTAATGATGATGATCTATATATATTTACAATTCCTATGAATTATACTATTTAACAATTGTATGCAGATGTGTGCAGTGATTTTCGCATAATAAATAAATAGACAGATCTCTCCCCTGGTGAACACGAATATTACCTGAAAGTCGATAGTCCCAAGACAAACAGAAGTGAGAAATGATATAAATACTGGTGATGAATTACTTTTCTAGTAGTTCACGCGATTCTAACAATTCGCGAGATGAACTCTGCCACTCAAAGAAGGAGGTTAAAAAGACGTCGAAGTACTTTTTGGCATGACCTCTTTGACGATCAAGTCAGTATGTGAGAGAGGGGACAGAAAAACACTTTTTTATTGTTTGAATCTGATTTGCGTACATTTGCCTTGAGTTTCTGAGAGCTACTTATACCTCCATGGAAGTAATCTTTGCGGACAGATGGATCCCTCGGAGGGAAAGCCCCTAATTGGTTTTTTTGGAAGGCAACTTGCGGAGCACAGTTTTAAGGTAGAGTGTCTTTCTTATCACACAAAAGGAGTTTTTGCATTTAATGCTCAGGGACCCCCGAGCATTTAATGCGCTTCTCCCAAAATCTGTCGAGCCATAAAAATGTGTNGTTCTCATAAACATCAACTAATTATATTGTTTATTTTGATAAAGGATCCACAATAAAACGTAGTTAATATTAAAAAAAAATTCAATAAAGTTATTGTCGAAAAAAATAAAACACAATAACAATGAATTATAAATGTATATTGATAGTCGATCATATAATACCACAATTTTTATCAATAACATATAAAACAAATAGAAAGAACATAAAAAACAGTAATAAAACAATAGATTTTATCCCAAAAAGTGCGGGTCAAGTAAAAAATAAGAAAGATAAACAGATGTATAGATTTGTTTGCTAAAAAATATGTACTTAATGATGATGATCTATATATATTTACAATTCCTATGAATTATACTATTTAACAATTGTATGCAGATGTGTGCAGTGATTTTCGCATAATAAATAAATAGACAGATCTCTCCCCTGGTGAACACGAATATTACCTGAAAGTTGATAGTCCCAAGGCAAACAGAAGTGAGAAATGATATAAATATTGGTGATGAATTACTTTTCTAGCAGTTCACGCGATTCTAACAGTTCGCGAGATGAACTCTGCCACTCAAAGAAGGAGGTTAAAAATACGTCGAAATGTTTTTTGGCATGACCTCTTTGACGATCAAGTCAGTATGTGAGAGATGGGACAGAAAAACACTATTTTATTGTTTGAATCTGATTTGCGTACATTTGCCTTGAGTTTCTAAGAGCTATTTATACCTCCATGGAAGTAATCTTTGCGGACAAGTGGATCCCTCGGAGGGGAAGCCCCTAATTGGTTTTTTTGAAAGGCAATTTGTGGAGCACAGTTTTAGGGTAGAGCGTCTTNCATGTAATTTAATAAAGTTGTCAAATGACATGACAGTTAACTTGAAATGCTAATTAGACTAATTAGGCTCTGTCATGTTATTTGAGCTCTTTATTTGATCTCTAATTTTAATCAGCGTAACATATTTTTATGAAAGTTGATCAATCAGGTTGGGTATGAAAAAATTTGAACACTCCTACTTGAAAGATTAAATCAACAAAATAAAATTTAAAATTTAAGTTCAAAAGTGCAGTTCACATCACACATACACATTATCTATCTTCTATAAATAAAAATAAATCAAACACATTTTCTATTTTTCTCAATCTTAATTTTGTTCTCATAAACATCAACTAATTAAATTGTTTATTTTGATAAAGGATCCACAATAAAACGTAGTTAATATTAAAAAAAAATTCAATAAAGTTATTGTCGAAAAAAATAAAACACAATAACAATGAATTATAAATGTATATTGATAGTCGATCATATAATACCACAATTTTTATCAATAACATATAAAACAAATAGAAAGAACATAAAAAACAGTAATAAAACAATAGAGTTTATCCCAAAAAGTGCGGGTCAAGTAAAAAATAAGAAAGATAAACAGATGTATAGATTTGTTTGCTAAAAAATATGTACTTAATGATGATGATCTATATATATTTACAATTCCTATGAATTATACTATTTAACAATTGTATGCAGATGTGTGCAGTGATTTTCGCATAATAAATAAATAGACAGATCTCTCCCCTGGTGAACACGAATATTACCTGAAAGTCGATAGTCCCAAGACAAACAGAAGTGAGAAATGATATAAATACTGGTGATGAATTACTTTTCTAGTAGTTCACGCGATTCTAACAATTCGCGAGATGAACTCTGCCACTCAAAGAAGGAGGTTAAAAAGACGTCGAAGTACTTTTTGGCATGACCTCTTTGACGATCAAGTCAGTATGTGAGAGAGGGGACAGAAAAACACTTTTTTATTGTTTGAATCTGATTTGCGTACATTTGCCTTGAGTTTCTGAGAGCTACTTATACCTCCATGGAAGTAATCTTTGCGGACAGATGGATCCCTCGGAGGGAAAGCCCCTAATTGGTTTTTTTGGAAGGCAACTTGCGGAGCACAGTTTTAAGGTAGAGTGTCTTTCTTATCACACAAAAGGAGTTTTTGCATTTAATGCTCAGGGACCCCCGAGCATTTAATGCGCTTCTCCCAAAATCTGTCGAGCCATAAAAATGTGTCCCATCAATTGAGCAGTCATTTAATGCTTCCTTGTGATGGCTGCACATGAGTAGGGCATTTTTGTCCATTAACCCCTAATTCTGTGATTCGTGCCTCATGTGTCATTACCATTGGTTCTGGGTTTGTCCTCTTTGTCATTCCGACTTCTTTAGGATGACAAGTCAATGATTATTGATCAATTTTAACTCCAAGTAACAATAACCGTCAATCTGTCATCCATGCCTGTGGGTTTTGGAGCCGAGATGACGTGTCTGAAAATGGACTTTGGGGACATTAGTCATGCCAAGAACATGTGTCACAATCTAAACACATTGATGTGATGTATGCCAAGGACACGTATCACACGTAAGGATCTTGCAGTACCATTAGTGCCGAGGACACGTGTCTCAATCTGAGCACCCCAGAGGTGATGTGCGCCGAGGACACGTGTCATTCGCAAAGACTATGCAGTGCCCTTCGTACCGAGGACACGTGTCTTAATCAAGCGCTTCGAGAAGAATGAACGCTGAGGACACATGTCCATCCACGATACTCCCACGTTTCTCGTGTTGAGGACGTGTGTCATCTTCTTGTTGATAGGACTGTCAATCAAATTGAGCTACTCGAGTTTGGCTTGAGTTCGGTTCAGGTTCAACTCGTTAAAACTTAGTTCGTTTTCTAAACGAGCTCAAACTTAAACAAGT